CCGCCATGTCTCCCAGGCTGCAGCCGGAAGGCCCTTGTTACGAGCTGATGCTCGGGATCCTGAGCTCCCAAAACCCAAACCCGTTAGGGTTTAGGGTTTAGGGTTTAGGGTTTAGTGTTTAGTGTTTAGGGTTTAAGGGTTTTAGGGTTTAGGGTTAGAAATTAAAACTCATAAGGTTTGGGGTTTAGGGCGAAACACTAGGTAGGCCCCTATTAGACCTAGAGAAACCGACCTGATGCATCATAGGTCTCGATGCTACTGCAACTTGCGGGCAAACCAAGAAGCACTAGCAGACTCCCAAAACCCAAAACCCTAAACCCCTAAATCCAAACTCTAAGCCCGGTTTAGGGTTTAGGGTTTAGGGTCTAAACCCCTAAACCCTAAACCCCAAATCCTCAAACTTTGAAAAACACAAAAGCTGTACAGCACCCTTGAAGAACCCAACATCCTCGCAGCCTCGCTGCTTAAGGGCTGATGTCGGTGTTGCCGCAGGAGGCTGCGAAGACTGAGCTGTCCTCACAGGATCTTCGCTCAAAGGAAGCATTACAGGAGCCTTTTAAGCGGCAAGGGCGTCGGGTTTTAGGATATTGGGTCTGTAGGATATGCGTTTCAATTAAGGATGCGCATTCCTTTAAGGTTTACTCAAAGGGCTTCTTGAAGGGCAGCTACATGTTGCAGGGGCTACTACAAGGGTTGCCATCTCTGCCTTCAAGCGCTGAGGGGCAACCTTTTGCAAAGCTTTACAGCTCCGCTATAGTACTACATGCAACCCTAAACCCTAAATACCCCAAATACGCTAAATACCCTAAACCCAAACCCCTGTAGGAACCTACGAAACTCCGAAAGATTTCCCATCCCGTTCCCTAGGGTCCCATTTGTAAGTATTCTTATAACACATCCTAACTACATAGTACATAGGAGGCCACCATACTCACACACTTATAGAACCGAAAATAAAACCTTATGTCCCAATTACATAGTATATACCAAAACTCCGAAAAGGTTACCCATACTATTCTCCAGGGCACCGTTAAAGATTCAAACGGGACCTTATGTAATATCCTAACTACATAGCCCCTAAACCCTAAACTGCCCTAAACTATAAAGCTTATATTCTAATTGCATAGTCCCTAAAACCTAAACCCTCATATCCTAATTACATAGTCTGCAAAAACTGCCCTAAACCCTGAACCCTGAACCCCTAAACCCCTAAATCCCTAAATCCCTGACCCCTAAGCCCGGAACCTGTAAAATTGCACAGTACGTAATGTAGGGGCCTTAATGATTAGAATGGGGATGTTGGGGTTCCTTCTTATAATTCTAGCATAATGGGCACCAAAACCCTGTTCCAATTATTTAGGCCCTTAAACCCTAAACCTTTATAGTAACCCTTTGTAGTAACCCCTTTAAAGAGCCCTTTAAAAGAACCCAGTTCCAATTCTTAAGGTCCCTATGTTAACCCAAAATCCCTAAACCCTGAACCCTACACCCTAAACCCCAACCCCTAAACCCCAAAGTAGTAGGATTCCTACAAAGGAACCCTTATAGTGTCCTGTTGTTCTTTATAGCATCCCCTTTAAGGGAAGCCTGTTCTAATCAAGGCCCCTTGTACATAAACCATAAACCCTTAAACCCTAAACCCTAAACCCCTAAACCCCTAAACCCTAAACCCGAAGCCCTAAACCCTAAACCCTAAACCCTTAAACCCTGCCCCCTAAACCCTAAAC